AATTATAGGACATAGAAATCTATCGCAGAGTTAATTCTTCACATTCAGTCAACACTAGATTAGATATCTGATTCAGATATACATTCAAATTTGTATAAAGGGGGGGGGGGTTAAGTATCCATCATTTTAATGGGATATGAACATGCTATCTTAATCATATTTAAAGTCTCGTTTTTTCATCATGGTAAGGATGTATTTTCGAGCTGGAGGGTTTTAGCAGATTTGCTCAACTTCAATATCGTCTCTCCAGATGTAGAAACCAAAAACGTTATGATTATTATATCTGTAAAGGGGCCAGACGACGAAAAAAAATTATTTGTCATTTTCAATTACTTGCTTATATCATCTTTAATAGCACATCAATTATGAAATACGCATAGTATATACATGGTAAAAGTCCAAAACATTTTCTATCATATTCATGAAAGTTGACACCTTGTATCTATGTGGCATTACCAAGCGTAAATGCACTCTTACAGTAACAAATTTGTTGGCTTTTGATCTAACGAATAACCGTTTATTTATAACTTTAAATATCCAAGAGGGTTTATGTATTTGGCTTTTTTTCATGGACTTTTTTACTAAATAAAAGATATATAAACTTGGTAAAGCTTTCGTTTCTAACTATTTAGCAGTTAGTGGTGGATGTATTGATAATGAATACTCAATTTGTATAGAAAGTGCACCAAGTAACGCTCTTTTTGGGGGGGATAGGGACGATTGCCTTGTTTCCAGTGAGAATCTCTTAAAAATCTAAATATTTTGAAAAAGCCAAATAGTTATTAAGCAGCTTCTTCATGAATCACATTTAGCACTTAGAGTTAATTTTTGAGCAAAAATGATATTATTCTCTGAAATTGATTCCATTATCTAGATTTGCTCTTTTTCAACATATCTATAATAATAATAATAATACTCAGTTTTTATATAGCGCTTTTTAGAATCACTAAGCGCTTCCAAATTTGGAGATTATTACCCCGGCTTTAGCTGTGCTGTCATTGCGGCGCTCTAGCATTTCAAGGAATTAATTCCTGCCAGGTACCCATTTACATCACCCGGGTTGAGTGTGGCAAATGTAGATCAATGACATCAAAGACATGTATAATAATCATCCATAACAACTGTATCATTTTTTCACCATACTCCTGTCCTATTACCAATGTAGTGTGTATAAATAGCTGAATAGCACGCCGAGGTCTGGGGCTTACCATAGACCTAGGGTCCATGGTACAGCGAACCACGGGTGTTTTAGTTGACGCTTTTCAGGGTTAGCATTACAGGCGGCTGTAATTGGACTCATAAAGAAACGGGAAATCATGCCGAAATGGAAAGAAATTCTGTGCATCTTGGTCCATTCCTATGCAGGAATGAACGGTGCAGAACGCAGAGTAGCAGCTCCTGCATAAAGCCTACATCAGCCAATTTATGGCGTATGTCCACTCTGGCTTAAGTCTGATGAAAATTAGGAAACATGATGAATTTCTTAGATAAAGAGGAGGGAATTCAGTAGCAGTTACTTCATTGTATAAATGTATATCTAGAGATTTGAAAAACGATACTGAAATATTTGTGAGTAATGATAAAGAAATGTCCTTATATTTCTTGTTTTAATTGCCTTTGCCTCTTCCCGTTTCGATAAAAGGACCTGTTGAAACAAACTAAAGCGCAAATCGTAGTTTAACCTTACCCAACATCAGGAAATTATGTCCGGAATTATCCACAAAGGTTGTGCTTAAAAGCCTGACATTGAATTTCATGTTCTCAGGATATTCATTTACTCTTTCGTCATGCAGTCTCCAAGTATATCTGGCAACATGCAAACCAAACAGCATGGTATTTCTACGTTTTTTAAATTCTGTAATATTATTATTTCATTATTGACTCAGGTTATATATACGTTTGACTACGTCGGTATTTCAGTTACATCGTTGGGTTGCTACCTTGTTTTAATCTCTCTTTACGCCATTGAATTTTTTTACTTTCTCCCGAAATTGGATTTACTTCGCGTTTGAATAAAACCCATGACAGTTCGATTTAACGTCGAGACTGTTAATAGAAATTGATTTTTCCCGTTATTTTGAATTTACAGTTTTCCTTTAGTTTTTAATGGAAAGTGACCATGCACACAGAGACGGTAAGTCTTTGATGAAGATACAAGCGAGAATGAGCGCAATCGAATTTGGAAAAAGCGCCATTATGGTATCGTCAACAAGGTTAGGACAATTTGGAGAAGAACGGTCTACTCTCAAAAAGCACAAATGGACCACGTTGCAGCGAGAATAAATACAAACATAAGATGCTTTCTACTGTCATTCGGTTGCGAGACATGAACATTCACCAGGGAATATGCTACGCCAGGCCTTTGGGCGAGACAGACCGTTGCCGTCCCGTCTCGCGTCTAGACCGCGCAGTTTTAGTCAAAACACTAAGCTGCATTCCCGACTCGAATGCCAACCAAAACAACTCATTGTGCTGCCGCTTTCAAACGAAAGAGAGAGGGAGGGAGAGGGAGGGAGAAAGAAAGAGATACAGAGATGGAGAGCAAAAGAAAGAAGCATATATTGACTCGTATAAGACGAATCCGATGACCATCTGCTTTCTTTCGAAATCCAGGCTCCCCCTCTAAAAACATCAAGCAAAGTGACGCATTGTAATAACATGGAAATCAATAAACAGGCTGGGGTAATGAGTCTAGATAAGTCTTCCCGAATCGGAGGGGAAAAAAGTATGGAACGCCACTCCTTGACGTCGATGCCTATTATATATTAAATAAACAACGCGTTAATGATATCGCGGGAATCTCCACAGAAATCGAAGAAACCTTTTTTTCCTCCCATATAATTATACCACTTCCCATAATACAATGGGCATACAAGGTCCCCGAAGCCTTTGAATTATTTTCATTGTTCGAAAAGGAATTTTAGACTTTAGCAAATGGCCTCTTTATTCAGGAAAATGTTTGTGTTATTATCAAATAATACACGTTTATTGCTGTAAGTTGGGTCATGGAAACGAAACTATAAAATATACAATTTATATTTCCTGACGCTAATCGCCGTGAGAAAAGTTGGCACCTAAATAAATAGATATCGCTTCAATAGTCCCATCCTTCTTAAATTTTAATGGATTCTCAAAATAGTAGTCCTAAAAGCTTTAAAACAGTTGATATCTATATATTATATCTTCCTGTTGTATCAACAGTTGTGCTGCCCCTTCGTGTAAATTAATTTGTTCTCATAGTTTCGAAAGGTGATCTTAATCTGTTCAATTAAAGTCATACTATTCACTGTACCCATTTCTTTGTATGTCTCCAATGCTTTACAGCGGAATTTCCATTTAATAAACCACTATCTCTCTCCTCTGGTATTCTTCTGCAACAGAATGATTATAATATAATATCTAATAACGATGAATAAGGTGTTCCAACGTGTATTGCCTATGTGTAAAGGTGTCGTTGGCCAGTGGATACGTCGTCAGACTGTGGATGACATAATTTGCGATTCGAGTCCCGCCACGGCACTCATATCCTTGCTCAAGACATTAATCTACATTGCCACATTCCTCTTAGATATTAAATGGGTACCAGTAGGAAGGAATTCCGTGAATGATGCGAACACCGACATTGGTAGCCTTGAAGAGCCGGAGTAATATTAGACCGTCTTGAGAACCTTTCTAGGAGGAAATGCGCTATAAATATATCCAATATTAATATTATTATTATTATTCCATACGTATTGCGGTCGCAACGCCTCCTTATATATCACATAAAATATTTCTTTTCCACCTGCAATAAAATTCCTTTCCGCTACAACCCTAAGCCTTTCTGACACAAGCTCTCTAATTAGAGGCCAATAAAACAAAATCTAAATTAACAAGCGTAAAATATGGGTTACCTCAAGCGTAACGAATCCTTATTTTGGCTCGTTATAGGTCGATTGTCTCTTTGCTATCGATTTCAACTCACGTTTCAAACATTCAACGTTGTCCTCGCTTTTAGATATTACCGCACAGCCATCGATCGCTTTAGTCGTTTTAATACATGCTATTGATTATTTTCAAGCTCGCTTAGCAAAGAAAAGCACAGCGCATATACGTTTTTCATTTTGCCGTAATGCTGAAACGTTTAGGCTAGCGCTTCACAAGATTAAAAAAATGTTGCTGTGTATGTATATATATATATTCAAAGGCGAATGTTGCTGAAATTACTAGGCAACTGAGAACATAACGGATAATCTTATGTAAATGTGGTTACGAAATGTATGCATACAATGTATTCTTCATGATTACAATATAATAAAACAACATACATTTATTTAGGTCCTCGCATATTTTCAAATGCTGCCCAATATCAGGCCAATATCCAAGGAAAAAATGCCAAGAAAGACGGTAAATGCATAGACAAATGTTTCACTGAAGACCTAAAACCTACAACAACAAAGTTGGACCTTAATGAACTCATACTGTATATATAGATCGTGAAGCCTACCTTGTGACATCATATACAATCATGCATTCTTCCAGGAATGATGAGACCTTATGTGTAGGCCTGGGCTGTAGTTGCAGATTTCAAGCTCTGTTAAGGGAGTAAGCTCTAGATATCTTAAACGGTATACCAATAGTCCGGCAGCCACTGAGCTATACCTCGTTTTGTTAAAATATTTTTGTTGTTGATGGATTCTGTTTCCTTAGGCATTGCCAGGCGCGGATCCAGGATTTCTTAGGGGAGGGGGCCCAACTTTTTTTTTTTACTCCCGAAAATTTGAAAATCGCTCCGGCCAAAAATTCGCTCAGTGGGGGGGGGGGGGGGGTAGTGGATCCGCCACTGGGCATTGCAGATGACCAAACAGAAAACTAGAACTTTGTCAGTGTTGAGCATTTTCAGATATGGCCAAAAACAAAATGGCCGCCAAAATAGCTTATTTTGAGTAAAAATTTGAATTATTCCAATACAATTAGGAAATACATTTCTAATACCTTCTTTATTTCTATCATTCATACAGGTGTCGTCCATTAACCGAGTATTACGCAATCTTGCTGCAGAAAAGACCATGGGTCATGGGGACATGTTCGACAAACTGCGCATGCTCAATGGCCAGTGGGCGCGGTCAGGTCCTTGGTACGCCCCCAATGTTAATCCTGCTATGCCAGGTCAACCTCTCGGTCACCACACCATGGAACCCTTCAAGAAGGAAGGTAAGCCGTCCTTGATTTATTTATGTCTGTTTGATTTTTTTTCTTTTGCATTTTTACATATATATAACAAACAAACATTGCAAATTCACACATAACATAAGAATATATGTAGAATAAAGTAAGGCTGGTTGTATCTAATCGAAAAACATCAAACAGGAGGGTTGACAAAGTAAGCAAAGCTTGATAGCATGACTACCCTCAAAGGATACATAATAATACAAATATGGAGGAAAAAATATTGGTAAAAGGGGGAAAAGACAGAAGGATAAAAAAGAAAAGAAAGAGAGGATGCACATCAAGATTCACAGATGTATGTGGTAGCTGGATTTCAATTTGATACTTTGATACTCCAAATTTGAATATTGAATGGCCAACTTGGGATATCATAGAATGAGAAGACTCGCGAGGTTCGGACAATATAAATGTGAATGTGAATGTAAAAAAGCACACGTTCAAGCTATTGTGGCCCCTTATTTACTTCGATGCACATCAGCTCCTTCTTTTCTCATACCAAAATCCTGACAACAGACAAGCTTTAAATGCTTTCAATGTGTCGCACCACATTGAAAGCATTTAAAGCTTGTCTGTTGTCAACATTAATATATTTGATGATTTTATCAATCTGCAAGTTCTACCATAGAGCTTTTGATCAGGTCAATCCAACTGAAACCGATAAGTAAACGAATCTGAAACTGAAAACTGAATTAGGTGGTGACATATTAATGTTAGTATTGAATTATGCTAATAATGTCATAATTCGTGGTAAAGTATTGGACATCGAATAACCATATGCCTTGGGCTCGCCCAAATATAATTTGTTTCAGTAGTTGCTAATATTGGATATGCATATAATAGCAACCATCTTGCACCCTTGTTAAGCTGGCGTGCGCGGTAAACTTCCAATGCCTGAAATAAAGCAGAAATAAAACAGAAAACATAAAGATCCCAATCGAAAATGAATACATCAGTGTTATTTATAAGAGGTCTTAACAAGACAAAACATGGTCAATGGTTGGATTTCAATCCACACTGCATAATTCATAGCGTGCTCCTGTGAGAAATAGAGGATTAAAGTCATTATAAGACCAACGCTTTTATTGAAGGAAACATAGAGACAATGCGTTGCAAAAGTGGAAAGCATATACGCATTGCGATATCTCCGAAACTTAAAACCCATTTCCCATATTCTATATCATTACCACTAAATTTTCTTAACCATTGTGGGAGTTTAATCAAAATGGATTTAGATGCTAAGTAAGTGAGATATATACCACAAAGCTATTATAAGCCTTGGTAGATTCGACATGTTCTACTGCTTAATGTTGCTCTTTAAGGATTTATTTTTGTTGTTATTGCTTTTCAATAAGATTTTTTATTACATGAAAAATACTTTAACATTCAAGTCCATGATTTCTTCATGTAAGTGTACAAGCACTTCACAGCGGAAATGAAAATACATTGCGGCGATGTACATTTATTGCAAAACATAAATTACTCCTCAGAATGTTCCCAATATGATGGAGATGACTGTTTAAGAGCGGATCCTTTCCCTATTTATAAGTACATGTAATACAACCAACATCAGAGGCTTTAGATGTAATGATTTGACCACATACTTGTACAATTCAAAAGGCGACAAATGCTCACAACTACCATTTCAGGTTTTCAAGATGGTGATATGATGGGGGAAGTTTAATTCAAACATTCGATAAAGTATGCAAGAAGTGCAATATCGTGAACCCATTCTGTCTTTTCTTCTCCGACAAAAAAAATCGATGAAAATCAAATAATCGACTGGAGCTGTATCTAAACGTCACATATCGCAATCGCGATGATTTATTGCTACCTTTAGCAAATGTACTTTTGCACAAATTCTCGGGTCACTTGAACTTTTCTGCCCAACCTCGCGTTGCCATGGTTTCCAATAATTCGAGGGAAACTTGTTACACGCATGCCTTAGCATTGTCTCTCGTTATTCCTTCCATTTCTTATTTTTCTACCATAAACCCAGGCTCATTGCGATATATTTGTGCGCGGATGCATGTGCTAATTTCTTATTAGTAACGAATATTTGTCTAACTGCAACTTCATATTAAGGAGAAGCTTTAACTTTTTCTGAATGCCACATAGACCTTTATATTTAATATTAAAAAGTAACAACATTTTGACAGGGTAATGCATGATAAAAATTATAGTCAGTGTTCTTGTATCGTAATCAAATTATGTGAAGGGGGTTTTATCTTTCCTTCTAAGGTTTATGTTACAAATTAAATTTCTTGTAATTTCTTGTAATTTCATTCTTTGACAGTTTTTGTTGTCATTAAATTCATTCGTACTTTTTCTTTAAAACTAGATCAAATTTGCCCGTGTTAATGAGAATTATGAATCGTGAACTATTGAACTTACAATGAAAACAGAGAAATAGTTAATTCCCTTTCATAAACTATACGATTCGTGCAGCGATGACGTAATACATTGATATTTTCACTTTGACGCGTGCAGAAAAAAAGTAAAATGTAAAACAAGAATGTGTTCATGCGTTCATTGATATGTAAAGCGCACAAGTATACAAACATTCCTCTTCTCGCAGGGGTTAAACAAGATTTCAACTTGAATATGATTGTATTCGAACACAACTTTCAAATTAACTTCTTTTTATCGTTTGAGTATTTTTTTGAAAAACTTGTATTAATATGTTTAGTCATTTCTCTCATTTTATGTTAATGAATTTGAAGCCAGGGTAGACATCCCCTTTAAGAAAGGAAATCATAGTGGATGAAATGAAGTACGTAATATCAAGGATACTGTGTGTTTCTTGCCCCGTTTTGCTGACTATTAGGGCATCAATAAAGCCATATCAGGGACTACGTAGGCAGGTAATTTAGGAGAAGCAACGAACAGAATTAAGTCAAGGAAATAATATTGGAGGATGTAGTCTGTTCTGTTCCCAATTTCGTTGGCCGTCGGTGCGTTATTGCGACCTATGGATGGGAGGAGGCCCGTGATGAAATTGGACCTTTGTAATTCTGTGGCGTCGCGGAATTAACGAAATTTCATCTATATGCTCGTGTCCAGTTCTTCTTGGGTAGGCTTACTGCAGGATGCACCAAGGTGGTGCCGGAGAGTGCGTAGGTACTCGTTACTGACATTTAACCTGTTTTCTTTTGTATTCCAATGTATGAATGATTTCATTCCAGAACACGTGGTTACTATTAAACCGCATGCATAATAACATATCTGTAGGTGGGATCGACTGTACCTACATTAGTTGTTCTTAGGTCTGGCAAACCTCTGGCAAACCTTTTAAATAGTCAAGAGAGACATTCTTGTTAAAGAAGCAAACATAAAGGCCCGAATTTACAAAGGAGGTTTGTCGACAAACCCAGGTGTATGTGCGTCATATGGCGCGTTTCGATGCGTTTCAGACCAAGGTTCAGACAAATCTTGGTCTGAAACGCGTCATATGACGCACATAAACCTAGGTTTGTCGACAAACCTCCGTTGTGAATTCGGGCCAAAGTTAGTAAACAAGTCAACTGCAAAGTTGTTAATTTATACCCACCGCAGAGATGAAAATATTCGATGTAATACGCTTCATATTTTTGTATTATTACAAAAAGCTCAGAGAATACGCGCAGGACCTTGTGGCGCGTATTTACCATTCATTTACACGTTTAAAAAAGAACCGGGGTTATGTTTGTTTGTTGTTGTTTTTTGCGGCGGTTTACCGCGTAATAGCTAAACGTGTCTCTATTCGATGTTTTGTATGCGCATTCTTCCCAGTACTCTTACCATAGTATTTCAAAAAACTCGAAGGATGCAAAGACGAGAAGACGTTTGCAACAATGCTAAAATTCTGTCTATAATCTTGCCGCTATTAATTATTCCATTAGAACAAGATTTTTTTTCCAGTCGGCAGTGCGATTCATATTCAAGATCATCAGGGAAATTCCCTTCCAGCTTGTTGAAGTTCGCATGACAAAAGAATTGAAATTTCCTCCACCTTATCTGTTTAATTGAAAGATGTTTGCTATCATACATTCCAACTTACTTTATACGCCATGGATGTGAAGTCTGTGTTTATTTTTGTTTTCAAATAAAAAGTACAAGCCAAGCATTTCAACTGTACCTTTATTCATGAGCATATTTTTTAATTACCTCTTGATTTGACACCTTAGAAGAATTTCTTTTTTTATAAAGAATCTCATGATTTTATTTTAATCGTACTTTATGTATTATATTTTATTATAATTTTATTTCATCTTATTTGTTATTATATTTCATTTCATTAACTTCCGTCTATTATACAACAACACCTAAAGTACATTTAGAATGAAATAAATTTTACTTCACGGTATCCCATAAAATGTGCCCAGCTTTTTCCAATTGGACTCAAAATAAAAAAGCATCTTAGGTAATACAACGAATGCTGGAATAGACAATAGTTTCATGGAAACATATTATAATTGAGGTATGTAGAAAGATACAGATAAGTAGCGTGCCGTGGTTGAAGGGGTCTATTTTTTCTTCTATTATCTCGTGTGTTTGGTAGCCTCGTGGTACGCGAGACAGGTAATCACACGAGATAATCGAATGAGAGAATCTTGGTAGTCGTTCTTGCGTAATAGATCAGAACGTCTCGCGCTCTCATCCTACCGACTATCACCTGGTAGACGACGCTCTCGAGCCTCCAGGTGTTAATGCGTAGCGGGACACTAGGGGTGTCCGGTAAATGAGGGGGGGGGGATGGGTGAAATTGCGGAGAGGGGTTGGTGAAGGTGGGAAGAGGGGTGTGTGATGTTAGAGAGAGGATCGGATGAAGATGGTGGAGAGGATGGGTGAAATTGTGGAGAGGGTCCGATGAAGGTGGGAAGAGGGGTGTGTGATGATAGAGAGAGGAATGGATGAAGATGGTGGGGAGGGTGGGTGAAATTGGGGAGAGGGTTGGGTGAACTGAAGGTGGGAAGAGGGGTGTGTGATGGTAGAGAGAGAAACAGAAG